AGCTAATTCATCCAGACTGCTTGAGCTAATCAGGATGCTAAATTGACTAGCTTCCCAAAGTTTATTTGGAGCAGCTAAGGCCAGGTCTACGCAATTTACCTTAGCTAACTTATTATAGCTATCTCTAAAAACACATTATCTGAGAAGTCATGTTGGCTTGCTTATATAACCTAATCAGTTGACTTGGTTCTTGTTAGAACATATATATTATGACAGACCAGTCTGGATTAAGTCAACAGTATTATCTGGTGTGAGGCTGGTCATTCTATTTTGAGTCTAAGGTATATCATGTCACTGTCTTGGCCAAAGCCAGAGAATCTTTACATGTGCCCAGTATAATAGCTGATGATTTAACAGTGTCATTTATAACAATGATTCCCACATAGTAACTTTGAGTACATTCTACTGGCAATAGTTTTAGTTGAAAATATCTTAAATCTTATTCTTTCATTTGTTTTAAAGCATTTTAAATTGAATTCCAACTAATTGTGAGATAAAACATCTGAGCCTTTCCTTCATGACTGCACATGTCTAGGTGTTCGGTTAAGTGCACCTCCTTTCTAAAATCAAATGATTTTGAGCAAACGTTAATAAAAGGAATCAATCATTACCCTGTCGGTTATAATTACACTCTACTTTACTTGTGTCAGGTTTTTTTTTTGTTTCTAAATTTCTTTTGTGCGCCATTGACCTAAATACTAACCCTCTCAACAATTACAAGGACATCGTTTAAATGTGCCTTCCACAGGCCTCTAATAGAGCTCTCCTGCTGAGTTAAGGAGCTCTAATCAGCAGTGTCAGTGCTGTAATTGTGGTACATATAAAATAGAGATACAGAGAGGTGTTTAATTACAGAGAAAAGCAGAGTGCAATTTTCATCTCAGGCTGACAAATTGGGTTTGACGATTCTCTCAATGTTATGTATGTTAAATGTTGAAGCCTACATTTCATCTGATGACCTAGTTTAAAAACACATCTGTCAGTTCTGTTTAATCTTAATATTTCTGTAAATACTTACAAACATAAAAAAAACAACGACATTACAAACATGAATCGACACATTAAGTGCACCAAAACAGATTCATTACAGTAACTGGGTGAAATGATGCCACTGCTTTGTTGGCTATGTGCCATGGCATATTGCCACTCCATCTCAGTGGTGCTGGATTGATATCAGATAGTAAATCCATGGGAGGTGTTACCTGCTGAGAACAGACCAGGTGCAAACTCTGCAGTAAGACCACAAGCTGTAGAGGTTTATCAAGCACTGTGGAGTAATTCACCCACTTACTGCCCTCAAGCCTAAAATGTGTAAATAAATAAAAAGACAATCCCACTGCCTCTAATATTTTGCCACTATTTGGTGAGGTTTAAGAATACGTTAGAAAGATTTAATTGAGGAATTATACTAAATGAGACATGTGGTGGGCAGAGATTTGAAATGTGGGCACATCACTTAACATGGATAAACTCCACAAAATAACAAGACAGTTATTGTACTGAAATTGTCTTTTTTATAAACTAATAATGATAGATGATGAATCACAGCCTCCCCACAATGTCCCTAAATCTTTTAAAATTGAACAAGCTCAAGTGATAGTCTTTGCTTCTTAACCAGTTAGTGATGAAGTCATTTTGATTTGAAGGCATTGGATCTTATGAGCATGTGTGTTTATTTGTTTTACTCACAAATGTGTGGACACCCCGGCTCATAATAACTTGCTACACAATGGACTTACTATTTTGGGAGAGAAAGCTCATCCAACTAATGTAAACTATGACCAAATGTATGTGCAAGTGTGTGGGACTACAACTTTTGGGATATACCCAACAACACACTGAGTGTGTTGTTGGGTATAGTGTTGTGACTTTGTTTGAGGTTTTCTCATCATGTTTGTAGTTATTTATTGCAGAAGTCAATGTCATGGCAGATGATGGACTGAGATGTGTTATCTGTGTGCTCAGGCAGAGAGTCCTCATTCGCTCTCTCTCTCTCTCTCTCTCTCTCTCTCTCTCTCTCTCTCTCACACACACTCACAATTTCCATCATCTTGCCAAAATTCCTGCAAACAAACCCCTGTTTACTCACATGAAACAACACTAATGTCTCTTTTTTTCAGACACTAGGGACATCGTTTTTTTTTTTTTTATTCTTCAGCACAGAACAACCTTAACATTGCACTGGCAGAAATGTGTGCTACCTTACTGAGAGGCCTGAAAAAGCATTCATTATATTTATGTAAGGGCAAAGCTGCAGAAAGACATGGCAAGAGAGAGAGAGAGAGAGAGACAGAGAGAGAGAGAGAGTGAGAGAGAGAGAAAAGAGGAGAGCTAAAGCCCTTTTGGGAAAGTTAGACAATTTACTAAATCAGGCATTAAAAACCGCGTGGCAGGTCAACATATTTGTTTGCTTGCATCAGTGCCAGTTTCTGAGGGATGTGAGCATCCACCCACTGACTTTGAAGGGTTACAATACAAGTTTCTTCTTGATTTATACTCACAATATTGTGATTGGTGAGGCATTTTGTGGATCCACCATCTGTTTGCCCTCCGATAAATATTAATGAGCTATGAAAGGCATGCTAAAAGAGATCAGGAAATTGCTTTTCATGACAGTCACTAAAATCTTTGCATGCATGGAGAAAATAACACAATTGGGTCTGGTTCTGATGGAAACATGTTTTGTTTTTTGTTTTGTGTGTGCATGTGTGTGCATGTGTGTGTGTGTGTGTGTGTGTGTGGGGGGGGGGGGGTCGATTACATAACTGATACAAAACATGGTGGCAGGCCTATTAGGAAATGTAGTGGAGATTGCCGTGCGTGCTGTCCATGGGGCTGATCCTTCGGCACACATGCAATTTCTTGGTAACACTCTGAAGTTCTACATGTTCTAGTCAGTGGGTCACCAGGTAGCAGCTTCATGGTGGTGTACTGAGCACACTTACTATTTGGTTAAGTAGGTTAGTTGAGTTAAAATAAATTGTCAAAAAGTTGACTAAATAATGTAAATGAATGCTTGTTTTTAATCATGTTTGTTCTTTTCTAGTTACCAGAAACAATATCAACACAAATGACAGAATATATCTACAGTAGTTCCTAGGTGGCAAAATAAATATCATATTTGCATAGGGGAGACAACATAAACACTGTCAATGAAATACATGTGCTCAGAAGTAATTCAGTCAAAATAAAATATTCCAATTACTAGTATAGATGAGGTTCATAGGCCCAATGTCTCCAAATAACAGGTCTGACATTGAGTATCTAAGGCTTGACCAAGCTGAATCATTTTTGCAGCTGCCTCTTTTAAATGTTTTTATTATTTATGTCAAGTAGAACAGTCTGGAAATTCATTACAATATACTCTGTGCCAGGGACAGTCTTGTATGGAGTAAACTTCCCTTGCATTCTTATGTTTAACATTCATTTCTATTAATTTTTTTGCCATCGGTAGGTACAATGTCAATCAAAATACGACAATACAGCTGAAAAATTATTTATTTTTTTACCCAAAAACTTTATATCAACCTCCTATAGATGTATCAATATATGGGCTGGGAATAAAAATAAAAAAACACCTGACTTAAAATGCATTAAATTCGACTGTGCAAGTCTTCACATTTTACAACGCCCCCTTCAGGTCAAAAGAGAACAGAATTGTATAGTTTTCTTTGGTTAAAAAAACAAATCGATTCTACATTATAATGCAGGAATCACTCGTAAGAAAGTAATTCTTTCCGATGTGTGCTTTTACATCGCAGTGCATTTAGCATCCTCCTGCTCGGATCACTTCTGCCCCCCTCCTCTCTCTGTGGCAGGGCAGGGGATCCGCTGCAGGACTCCTACACAGGGCTCACTGCTCTAGCATCCGCCTCTGATCCTACCATATCCATGACGTTTCGTGTCCGAGTTTACACGCTGAGTGGCGCACATCCTGCTCACCAGTGCGTGGAGCCACAAGCGTGCATGTTTGCAAAGATGCCTCTGACTGTAGGCTTCAGTGCATACCGCTCTGCTCCATGCATCCCGCTTTCAACCCTGAGGCTCTTGCACTGGCACAGCGCCTCTCAAAGTATTAAGTCGCACTTCTAGTTGTCGTCAGAGGCCCGAATGCGAGGAGATCGATGCAAGAGCAAGTGTTAAAGCAGGGATGCATTTATAGCACGGAACCCCCGTTTTGTGTGGAGAATAGGCGATGAGGGAAGCACATTCAGCACCATGGACAGCGGAGGGAGGGAGTGACTGATTTTGCACTTCGAACAGGGAAGAAAAAACGAATGTAGTGATTTATTTTTTCCACTTGTATTATATCATACTCATTCCCTTTTGAAAATTATGAAGAACAATAATTAAAGAAGGTTGCAAACTATGAATACAGTTGGCTCCCTCAGCCTGACAGAACTCATCCACTCCACAGCTTTCAAGAATAGGCCTATATCTGCCCTAATTGCAAGTTCACACCTTTGCAATCACGGTCTCATTTCTCAGATCACTGTCATTCTTTTTGCGATGCACACCATAAAGATTCAGAAATATGACCAAAAAATAATTCAAAAGAAAATAATTCAAATGTATATGTAAAGTTTGTATTGGGTTACTTGTTTTCCTTATATCCATTAAGCTAGAGTTAAGTTAGTGATGATGTCACGTGCACTTTAACTGGTACATATAGCTGTCCAGTCAAAACATCAGCAGGAAGCTCCCCAGAAGTTCTGAAGAAACAGCAGGGTTAAGTTAAATGCTAGGGAACCCCTCTATAAGTTGGGATACGGGTGTGTAAGGAGCGAATGAAAAGAGACAACCCCACCCACATGTCCAAACTCGCCCCCGTGGATTCAACCCCACCATCTTTCCAATTACCGCTTTTAAAACAGCCACGGTGAGTTATTTAAAAGAGGGATACCCCAGCATGCCCCAGAGGAACTTGCAGTCTTAGTTCTCCTTTAAATTCCTCCGTGTCTGGGTACTACCTCTTCTACCAAGGGCAGCGGTAGCAGCAGCGCCGCTTCTTGATGTTGTGGTTGCTAGTACGCATGCGCCCGGCATTGGAATTACTGCACTGGCGAGAATAAGTTGCACCTCGTCTCTCTTCACTAAAAGAAAAAAAACAAACACGTAAAATAAGTATGGCAGTTTTCAAAATAATGTGTTTTTGCGTGTGGTTGTTTCCTCTCGTAGTGACTGTGGTGCGCACCCAAAGGTAAGTGAAAGGGTCGGAGGATGCTCCACTCATTTTTTACTAAGTGTGTAACAGACGCCGTGGAAAATACTTGGTGCACTTTCTGCTTCAAGAATGTCTCGTTTTTCAATCTCCTGTGCAACTTTTTCTCTCTTTTTTCTTCCATAGTACCAAAGTCAATGACCCAAGCAATATGTCCGTGGTTAAAGATACGGTGGATAGAGTGTTAAAAGGTTATGATATACGACTGAGACCAGATTTCGGAGGTAAATGAACTCGTGTTACCACCAACTCTGTTCGAATTTGAGCCTTGACAGCCGTATAGTGGCTACAGTGTTTATATCGCTTATAAAAACCACCGAAAACTGAACGAGGTTTGGTTCGGAAAGTAAAGTGCCACAGTCTATGTGGCTGATATGAAACAGTCAAGGGAAAAAATGTGCTAAAACATTCCAGGTTGCCGACAAAAATGCGAGAACTCATGAGTTAAGAGGCTATCTGATGTATTTGGATGTTGATGTCCACGACATCCTTTATTTAAATGAAAAATGTATAGTCTTCAGAAAAAAAAGTGTCTGTCTACTCCCAGGACACGTCTATTGGAATTTGACATACAGTTGACAGCCTATTTGATTTTCCAGCATCTTCCTATTCAAGTGTTCACTTCAAGGGAAACATGTTTGGACATAATCAAGGGCGTCATGATTTAATGTCAACAACTTTTAGGGGAATTACCAGCACTTTCACCACAGCTCAGCGAGTCTAATCCCACCCGAAATGAACACTGTAAACTATTACCCGGCTGACAACTGCTAAATTCTCAAATCTGTGTTCCCATCACGCAAACATTATGAACCGTTTCTCGCATGTCAATGAATCATTTATGCACGTGATGTGCCGTATTGCTCTTCTTAATCGTTGTTTTGGTCTGTCCCAGGTCCTCCGGTTGGAGTGGGAATGAATATTGACATAGCAAGCATAGACATGGTATCAGAAGTCAATATGGTAAGTAGGCCATTATTACTTTTTATTCTACTTATCCTTCTGTGCTATTTATAACGCTAACAGGGGAAATACCCCTTCTCACCACCGGGGAACCCCCTCGAAATGTAGGTCCGTGTGCATGTGTGTTTCCCCCGATCACTGGCATCGACTTAGGGGGTTCGAGAGAGAGAGGGGGGGTGATTTGAGCCTCCTTAGGGGTTTTTGATATAGATTGACATTTATGGATGTTTATGGCTGTATAGTTTGTTAAGTGGCACACAAGCAAGCATCTTTCAACTCACAAAATACATGATAGGCTATAGGGACTGAAAGTTCAGTCCAATCACAGCTCTCACTTACAGGTGAAGTAGTATTAACTCAACTCACTACTCTGGAAATATATCACACTAACACTAATATCGCAAAAAAAATGTTTAACGTTGTTTGCAGTCGCTTTATTATAAATTGTGTCAGTAGAAGAAGTTGAGAGCTGTGGATGTGAGAAGTACAGATTAAGTTTTGCTTCATCCAAGTGCACCTCCTAGTGATGAGATATTAAAACTGCAAGACTGTGTCCATTGAAACTGAAGGCTGTATTTTATCATCATAGAAGGTCACTCTTGACACTTATAATGCAGTCGACAAGGTGAGCAAAAATTGATATTTATGGTAATATGCACGAGATTCTGATAGGTCCATTGTCATCTTTTTTTTTTAATTTCTCTCTGTGGTTGACCTCTACTGTGGCAGTAAACTGGTTTTTAATTTGCATCTTCTTTGTACACTCCCGTCCTGATGTTGCACTCGCAACTTCCTTGTTACTAGCTGTGTTCTAAGTCATGTTGTGATATCGAGGATATTTTTGGCAGCAGCCTCCAAAGGCTGTTTCTCATGTTGTTATCTTTGTGCTCCTGGAGACTATATTGATGTATAGGACAGAGATTAGAACATAGACGATGTTCTTTTTTGCATGTTCTACACACAGAAGACCTGCATAACCATACTCTCATACATGTACATACACACACACACACACACACACACACACACACACACACACACACACACACACACACACACACACACAGCCATACACATTCACAGAGCAAGTCTACAAGGGCTTCCAGAGTGGCCTAGAATGCTTAATTAAAGGCATGTTTCCCGAGAGTAACAGATGCAAGAGCTTGATGGATGCCATGCATTGTTTTTCTTGCTTTTGTGCTTGCAAGTTTAGTACAGATTTGAATCAGATTTTCACAGGAACGACCGATAAATGATGACATCTGGGTATTTTTACTTTTTGGATAGCATAGAATAGGGCGAAAAGAGAATAAAAATAAAAAACGATTGAACATAAAAAAGTTCAGCAATGGTGTTACAAGTGTATAATATTTTGCAGCCTGCCTCACTCCAAAGTCATCAAAAATGGCAGCTTGGGCAGTGGCCCTTGGTTTCAAGTTATGGCACTGTAGGAACCCCAATGGAAAACTGTTTTGAACGCTTTCCTCTACGTCATTGTGTTGTTGCAGAATCGATGTCAGGTGTTGTAGGATATCTGCTTGTGGTGACAAAAAAAGAGTGGTGGATGGGTGATCAGTGGGTTAGAACTTTCCAAAACATCCATGTATGACTACAGCCTGGTTATAAAAAGATCATCAGGGCTTATTTGCATGCACACACCTACGCACACAATGCCAAACAAAAAAGAATATCCCACTCTCCAAACGTACAAAACCAGTGATGCACCGCTTCTTTGATCACTCCACTCCTTTGTCAGGTTTGGCCCACTAAACAGCCTCTGATGTGAAAGGGGAGTCATTACCACCATTGGATTCTCATAAAAAGGAGAGGCCACATGTGTTTGTAATGCTTTTTTCAGAATCTTTGATCCGCTCCTCTTCCTATAAATGTAATCACTTTTCAGGATAGCAGCTGGTGTAGAAGGACTTTCCTTTCTTCCATTTCCTCTCCCCCATCTGGCTCCGTGTCTGCCACTTATTTTGGTGCAGGGAGAGAGAGAACCACCCTGGGTACTTTCTTTTAGAGAAGAGATAAGAAACAGGGTTGAGGATAATGGAGACATGTCACTGAGAGAGATGTATCCAACAGTGTCCCATTAGCTATTAAGGCAGAGCGGGACATCCATGCTTTGGTGTGTATTAGCAATATATTCTTCTATCCACCAACTGCTGCTCTCTGTTGAGGGCTGCACATTAAAAGCCGAGACATGGACCCATGATAACAGGATGTATTATTTGATTTTTCCAGAGGGGCCATTAAAATAAAGAACTGCAAAGAGGGTTGTCTTAAACCATCTGTTTTAGCACTTTGTTACCAATGTCACAAAGTAGAAACCCATTTAGAAACAACACAGGCCTCTAGCACACTCCAGATGAGTCACCAGACTAAGCATTCAAGCCTTAAAGTGTGAGTGGCCCAGAGGACATGGAGTCCTCTTCTGTATTTTGTCACGTAAGCGGCTCTGATGTCCAAATGCACTACCTGGACCCAAGCAGTTTACAGTGATTTACTCCCACAAAACATTTTCTTTTCTTAATCAGAGTTACAAGAAAATGAAGCAACTGACTGCTGCTGAAGTTCTCTGAGGATAAAAGCACCAGACGCTGTCTTTACTGAGTCATATACCATGCATGAAACTACATTACATGTCACTTAGGCCCGGAGCCAGACATGGGATGAGGAGGCTGTAGTCTGGTGTTCATTACATACCCATGAAAGGTCACTTGTTCTTTGGGTGTCAGAGCCGAAGTCCTGAGCCTTCTGGGGTGAAAAGGTATAAGATATGGTTGTGTAACACCTAGGGGTCAACTTTTTCACCTCTGTGGCTGTGACAGAGAGAGAAAGACAGAGACGGATAGGGGCGAGAGATGTGACATTAACAAGTTAGCATGTGGAGAGCCAGAAGCAGGGCTTGGTGTTGGAGGGAAGGTCATGTACCTAGTGCTGCTCAGGGTTCATTCTGTATGACTCAGAGGTGGACATATACAGAGAGACACGCACTGAATACCAATGGCATGTTAGACATTCCTCTCAAGGCCAGGTGTCTTTGCAAGGCTTAATGTATGTACTTGTGGAAGGAGAATGAAAGATCTGTCTTCAAGTATAAAGTATGAATTCAAAGCAATTCTCAATTTTTGTACCTTCTCCAGTGCCATTTAAGTCTGAATATTTGCTTTTAGTTGAGCTTCTAAGCACTTGAATCCTAATCCAACAGTTTTCACAAGGGAAGAAATACTCCTGTCTGAGGATGAACTCAAGTTTTTATCCTCCTCCAAAAGGCAGAAATACCATTATTGATGCTCATAAAGGTCAAGAGGAGCTTATTGATTGCTGGAGAGGGAGGCACCCCCCCACAAATTTGTAGAACCCAGTTATTTCCTCTCCCTCGAAGAAGATATCTGAAACGGGATGTCTGCTATAAATGCAAAGATATCCCACTGAAATCTATACCATATTTTAAACAAATGTGATGCATTCTAATGGATGATGGCAGAATGGCAAGAGATTACATTTGGCATACGATATTAAAGGAAAGAAAGATCGCGGCAGCACTTATGTGGTATTGAGTTATATCTCATCCGGACGTGAGAGCTTTAAAATGATATTAAGTCTGAATCTGCGCATGTGTCTTAATCTATTCCACGGCGGTCTTCCACATCGTATAGCTGATGTGTGCAGAATCATGAATTGATGAGCAGCCAAAATAATTAGTCAATCTGATTTTAATAGATTTTCATGGCATGAATTTGACAGTTAACTCCAAGTATATAATGGTTAGGAAACATCAACCTAATCAGCCCATTGTAATGTTAATGATACTTATCGAAAGATAAATGATAAAGTGTAATTATTCTTTAAAGTTAATGAATGGGACATCATTTTATATTCCTAAAGTGAGATAGTCAAACTCCTGATTCTTTTGTCGTTCCAAACACATTTTACCCAGCAGGATTTCTCAGAAAAATGTCACACAAGGTTGGATCACCAGAGGCTTGCCAAGCTCTCAAATGATCTCCAAACCTGCTTCATTACTGTTGCATGGTGAGTAATGCGAGTGTAGAGGCAATGTGTGAAGATTTGCAAACTGCAACACAATCAGATTGTGCTGGGAAATAAATAACAAGTGAAGTGCAAGGCGCAATTAAAATGTGTGAATTCATGGAGGCACTGTCAAACTATTAAAAACCATCCTGTGCTATCTTTCAAACTCATAACAAGCTAATGAGCAAATGCTCCGAAATTGCGGGTAATAAAGTATTACATTTAGTTGACGAGTACAGCTCAATGAATACGTGTAATAAAGCAAGAGCAGGGTTTTTTTTAGTTTGGATTCTGCGAACAAAATTGAGCTATTTGTGCCACACTAGTCTTGATTTGTCTTTATTGGTAGGTGCAGCACTTCAAACTACGCTATGAAAAGTTTAACTTCCTGAAGTTCCTTTGAAAGATTCTTGCAGTGTCTCCTTCTCATCTGCAGTCTATAATAGGCTTCCATATAGGCCAGACATGGACATATACTTAGATAGCCTCTGGTGAGGATGTAATATCTCTGGGGTGCCGGTGGCCTAACGGTTGGTGCGCACGCCCGATGTGAGTAGGCGGTAGTCCTCGAGAGCGGGCCGCCCGTGTGTGGGACCTTTGGCTCCTTTCCCACTTGTCATTCCCTGCTCTTTTTTCCCCAGTTTCTAACTCTATCCGCTGTAAAATCTCAGAGATGGAGATATGGAAAGCCCGAGAGTAAATCTTTAAAAAAGGATGTAATATCTTGTCTTTCACATTCATGAATCCTAATCCTTCTTTCACTGGGGCCCAAACTCAACCTATCTGTTCTGGAATGTTTTGGTATCAAGAGTGCTGGAGTGTATATAATGTATGAAGAAAGCGAGGCTGGAATGTTACTGATTCATTTTCACTGCTCGGGAAGGAAGATTGATCGGTCAGACTTAAGAGACAGCCTGGACTGAACCTCAATCTTTGTTACCAAGACAACATCATTGGAA